CATTTTTGAGATGATCCTGAAAGAAAAGTAAATCATCAATCTGGTGAAAGTTTAAGTTCTTTATTCACTCATTCAGCAAGTATTTACTGACTGCCTATTATAATACTATAAAGAGGAATATCTTCTGGATCAAGTGAAAAAGAACTTGTCTCATATCCACTGTTTCCAAATGTTTGTTTATACTATTTCCTTACTCTGGATTTATTCCATCTTCTTCCTCCTCTTCTTCCTCCTCCCCCACCTCCCCCCATACCTCTTCCATCATCAAAATCATACTATCTGGGCTTCCAATAATTCAAGTTGGTTGACCAACAATATCTATTTATCTCCTTTTCCTGCAAGGAGACTCCTCTGAAGTAATAGTAAAGGACTAAACTGGCATAAAACGACAATGAAAAAAGAGAATGGGGGGCTTCCCCGGTGGCGCAGTGGTTGAGAGTCCACCTGCCGATGCAGGGGACACGGGTTCGTGCCCCGGTCCGGGAAGATCCCACATGCCGCGGAGCTGCTGGGCCCCGCGAGCCATGGCCGCTGAGCCTGAGCGTCGGGAGCCTGTGTTCCGCAACGGGAGAGGCCACGACAGTGAGAGGCCCGCATACCGCAAAAATAAATAAATCAAAAAGAGAATGGAAGAAAGGGCCATCTGTGGACAAACAAATATAACAGATTTCTGGAAGATGGAAAACAAATGAAACATGATAACTGATGAAACAGAAGAAAAGCAGCAGCCTAAAGTAAGCTCAGAGGATATTGTCCTGGATGAGTGAATGGCCAGCATAAGATAAAATACCTAGGAAGTTAAGAATGAAATATCAGAAAAACAGGATAAAAAGATGCTAGAATGTTTCCAGAAAGAGAAAAGAGGTAACCCCAACAAAGAAGCAGCCTCAATAAATGGAAGCAACAGGAAAAATAAAACACATAGACATGCTGAAATTGGAGGTGGAGAGCATATTTGTGATACTTTGGGTCCTATCTTTTAATTGTAAAATCTATAAAGTTAAATTTTCTAGTTGAAAATTTGGTGGTAATAGGAAGAACAGTATGCTTTTTAAAATAAATAAATTACTACCAATACAAAATAAATAAATTACTACCAATACAAAATGTTTAGTAAGCTGCACTCTTCCTTGGCCCAATGGGATATAAATGACCCCACCCCATGTGAACACTCTCTTTACCCCACTCATGCTCTGACATCCTGAGCTGAGCCTCACTCCTGAATCTACTAAGGCTCCTACACACAACTTTGGACCACTGTAGTTTCCCACCCACGGGGACTGCTGCCACCTTGCTTCACTTTTGAATTGAATTATTTAGAAAGATGAAGACCTCTATTAGATTTTAAGAAACTTGAGAGCAGAAACTTTGTTTTAAGCTAGTTTATATTCTTCCCAGAGCCTTGCCTAGTGCATCGTATACCACACAAACACCATTTTTTGTTATCTTTTTGATATGCCAAATAAATAAGACCAAAAATTTATGAGATAAAAGTGTCTTTCTTTAAAGAAGGTGAGAGTGTTTCACATGGCCTGTTATCTTCAGGAGGTACCTAAGGAGCAAAAGATTAAATCTGTTTTATACATAGCAAACTAAGGAACAAAGACATCTAACACATCTGCATTTTATCACAAGTCATCTGATGGAAAATTAACTCAAGCACTTAGGTCTCTCATCAGTACTCAGCATTCTGAAACACTTAAGTAAAACCCTGAGAATGTTAGTTAACTCCCTTCCAAGGCCTCATTTAAGGTCACTCTTCTCCTAATTTAATACAATAAAATGATAGAGTCATCATATTTGCACACTAAATGTTTTTGAACATTAACTAGCACCTGTAAAGTACTCTGTTCCTCTTTTAAATAGAAAAATTTTAAGGCTAAGACAGTTCTTTCCTTCAGCAAATATGAAATCGAGTACCTACTACAAGGCCAAATGCTATTTAGGCACACTAGAAAACAAGTGGTGAATAAGACAAAAGAGGTCTCTTAATTCTAAATTAAAAGTTAGAACACAAAATTTTTTGATTTTCAAAATAAATACACATTCAAAAACTTGCAATTTCAACTCATTTTTCACTCAATTTCAATCTTAGTTTCTTCCATTCACTGTGAGATTATTTTTCTCAAAGAAAATAATATACAGTACAGCAGGGTTTCTCAACCCTAGCACTAATGACATTTGGGGCTGACTCTCTTTGTTGTGAGGGCCTGTCCTGTGCATTGGGAGGATGCTTGCAGCATCCCTGGCCTCCACCTAGATGCCCTTAGCACCCCCTCATCGATGCTTTCTCAGGACAACCAGAAATTTTTCCAGACAACACCAAACGTCTCCTACAGGGCAAAATCACACCCAGTTAGAAACCACTTAAGTACAGGAATGACTGAGGATAATCTTTCAACTCCTTTCTCCCCTTGTCTTTCAAATGAGTTATGACGCAAAGTCAGATGTTAGAACTAAAAGGCTCAAAACAATTCTAAGGTTATGACAGGTATTTTAAAAGTGAACTGTGGGAATTTGCTCCTAGCCATGTCTTCTCACCAGACTTTAAGGATCAAGTGATTCCTGGCCAAGGAACAAAAGCAGAATCGTCCCATTCCCCAATGGATTTGAATGAAAACTGGTAATAAAATCAGGTACAACTCCAAGAGAAAACACCGGAGAAGAACCAAGCTGGGTCTATAAGGAGCCCTGCACATGAGGTGGCACACATATTTATGCTGTGTCAAGGGCACTTGTATCTTACCATATCACTCTGAAGAATCATTACTATCTGAACAGCTGTTTTATCGGGAAAATGATTTTTCTCTTTGTGTCAGTGTGTCTGCACTACTGCTCTGGTGAGACCTTTTGTTGTAAAACAAAAGTGAACCTTGGTCAAAAGAATGAGAACACAGCAGAGTGGACGAGCAGCTGCTCTTCCAGCTTCAGTTTTGTCTATCTCTCTCCTCCTCAGTCTGAGAAGCCAAGTGCAATACCCCGGGAGAAGGAAAGAGAACTTTGAAATAAGGAGACACAAGGGCAATGATTACAGAAGGTTGACTGGAGGCATGAAAAGCAGGAAAAGCAGTCAATGTGAGAACTAAGACAAGCTTCAACCAGTCTAAGCTTCCCATATTCTGAAGGGCATCATCTTAAAGATAGGAGAAATTCATAACAGAAAGGCAGAGATCACAGGGAGAAAATAAGTTGTTTATCAATATCATTAGTATTATTATTATTAATCATAGATTTTAAACACATACCAACACTGATACAAATAAAACACAGATCATGGTTTAAAAAAAAAAAGAGATAAAGAATGAGAAGACAAGCCACAGACAAGGAGAAGATAGTTGCAAAAGGCACATCTGATAAGGACTATTATCCAAATTATAAAAAAACACTTAAAACTCAACAAAAAGAAAACCCAATTAAAAAACAACTGGTTCAAAGACCTTAACAGACACCTCATTTAAGAAGATATACAGATGACAAATAAGCATAAGAAAAGATGCTCCACATCATATGTCAAGCAGTAATGCAAGTTAAAACCAGATACCACTACCCATCTGGTTGTGTGACCAAACTTGGAACAATGACAACTGTAAAAGTGGAACAACGGGAACTCTCATTTTTTAAGGCAAAACAGTACAGGCACTTTGGAGGACAGCTTGGTGGTTTCTTACAAAAGTAAACGTACTCTTACCATATGACCCAGCAATCATGCATTTTTCTTTAGTCAAAAGTATGAAAGGGTGGTATAGGAGTACTTTTTACTATGAGCACCTGCATTGTTTACATTATATATAACTGTCAACTGAAAAAAAATGGGCAACTTAAAATTTGCGCGTTAAGTTTTATTCGGGGACCTTACTGAGGACTACAGCCCAGTAGACAGGCTCTCAGCGAGCTCTGAGGAACTGCTCCAAAGAGGTAAGCGGGGGACCAGGCTATATAGGAGTTTGGGCTGGGGAAAAAAAGGTAGTCAAACATCAAAATCAGACACCTCAAGTTAATGATTTTTAGTGCTTCTCTATAAATGGGAAAAGATGCAAGAGTCTGGGCTCATTGAAGTTATTCCTTATATAAGTCTCATAACTATCTAGGGCCAGCGTCCTGTTTTTCTCCATCCTGAATTCCCCTTAGGCAGCTGCAGTTGCTGGTGGCCTGAAGGTGGGTAACATTCGTTATTTACTGAAATGGCAGGTAACAGTTTCTCTCCACAATACATCTTTTTATGCATACAAGCATCCATATATAACTTCATTATAAATGGGAATATCTTATTCATCCATGCTGAAGATCTTAAAAGGGGAGATAAAGTAGAAAACACAAGTTTAGGATAGGGGCTGCTACGGGTTGTATAAAGTATGGTAACCATAAGCGAAGTCTGAAATATATAACAGTGAATACCAAGGGAGTCCAGAAATAGGCCAAAAAAAAAAGGAGTTCCCGCCCGCTTCAGCCATTCACAGCTTGCACTTTTAACTAGTAGCTGCCTCTCAGAAAACTGTCAATAACAGACGCCTCTCTACACTAGCAACTCTGAAGCAAAGGCACACTTTCAAGGCTTTTCAATACTTTTAAGGACCGAAAATTATTTGGAGGACTAGGAACTGGAGTTAGGCTAAAAAGTAGAAATCGCAAGATTCTCTGAAGAGAAAGACGCCGTCACGCCCGGGATTACAAAAAAGGCTTGAGGAAACACGACAAGTAAATTAACTCTAGCTATCGGCACCCGATCACGCCCGAGCTCAAAAAACTCGCGCGGCTTCCCCACTGAAACCCCCCAGAAGCCACAACACCTGCCCAACGCTTCACTCTCCCAGCCTCACGGGGTCCGCGGCCTGCACTTACCAGCCCCCACGCGGCCATGTTCCGGCCCGGCTCAGCCAGCGCAGGGGTTGGGGGCGGAAGTTCACACGGGCCGCAGCTCCAGGCAGCCCAGCGAGGACAGAGTCACCCGAAGAAAAGCCAGGCAGAAACCCAGTAGCACCTTAAGCGAAAGACGGCGGTAGATGGCGGGAACTAAGGAGCCGCGACCCAGCGAGCGCGCCCGCGACCGCGCCCACTCGCGCGCATCCACCTACGCAATTTAAAATAGGCTGCACATGCGCAGAATGGGCCCTTCGACTCCAAACGAAGAAAGCCGTTAGGGGCCCGCCCCCTCACTGGTACTCTCCCACAGTCCGGCCTTCCTCCTCCCAAGAGCCCTGCCCCATCACGTCGTAGCCCTTCCCCCATCTCACGTGTCTCCTAGTCCCTTACTCCTACAGCTTCATTGTCTCTCCCTCTCTGTCTCTGTTTCTGTCTCTCTCTGTCTCTCTGTCTCTCTCTCTCGCTCGCTCTGTCTCTCTCTCTCTCTCTCTCTCTCCCTCCCTCCCTCTCCCCCTCTCCCCCTCTCCCCCTCTCCCTTTCACTTTGTGGAAGAAACTGGGTCACTTACCCTGTAGAGTTCTCACATTAGGATTTTGCTGACTATATTCCTGTGGTCCCCTATATTTTCAGTAAATTGGAGTTAGATCTAGGTGCTTGATCTGATTCAGTCTCTCTCTCTCTCTCTCCCTGTCTCTGTCTCCTTCCCACGCAGAGAAGGTATAAAACTTCCTGACGGTTCTCTTATAAAGTAAAAAGTAATACTTGGAAGGATAAGAGGCAGAAATTGTAGAAGACGTTTGAAGAGTAATGTTTTACTGTGTAGGCTCTTCACCCACACCCCAGGCGGTTTATGCATCATCTCTGAAAGCAATAATGGTACAGTAAAAATGGTGATGGATGATGTATTCTTTTTTCCAAATATGTGGGTAATGTGGGTGATATTTTTGTGAGGCATTGCGAACAAAATGATCTGTGTATTATTTATCATTTAAGTATGACGTCCTGAAAGGGGTCTTGAAACCTGCTCAGTGGACTAGCTATGTCACGTAGGACAAGCTCTGGCACCTTTCTGGCAGTTTCCTTAATTACATAATAGGAAAGTTAAGTTAGATGCTCTGAAGACTAGACCTGACCATTTTATGATTCTAAGAAACTATGACCTATTTTTATGATCTAATAAAAATTTGCAAGGGAATTTTCATCACAAAATGGGTTACTTTCTCCTCAGGCAAGGGAGACAAAAGCAAAAATAAATAAATGGGACCACATCAAGCTAAAAACTTTTGCACAGCGAAGGAAATTATAAACTAAATGGAAAGGCCACCTACTGATTGGGAGAAATTATTTACAAGTGATATATGCAATAAGGGGTGAATATCCAAAATGTACAAAGAACTCATACAACTCAACATATAAGAAACAACCCAATTAAAAAATGAGCAGAGGAATTGAATACACATTTTTCCAAAGAAGCCATACAGACGGCTAATAGGCACATTAAAAGATGCTCAACATTACTAATCATCAGGAAAGTGCAAATCAAAACCGTAAGGAGATATCACTTCAAGATATCACTTGCAGACAAACTGCAAGCACATGTCAGAATGGCTATTATCAAAAAGACAACAAAAATCGTGTTGGCAAAGATGTGGAGAAAAGGGAACTCTGGTGCACTGTTGGTGGGATTGTAAATTGGTACAGCCACTATGGAAAACAGAATGGATATTCCTCAAAAAATTAAAAATAGAACTATCATATGATCCAGCAATTCCACTCCTGGGTATTTAATCCAAGGAAAACAAGATTTATGCATCTCAATATTCATAGCAGCATTGTTTACAATAGCCAAGATATGGAAGCTGCCTAAGTGCCCATCGACAGATGAATGAATGAAGATGGCATATATATATATATTTATATATGTATATATATGTATATACATATATAAATAATGGAATACTACTGGACCATAAAAAGGAATGAAATTTTACCATTTCCAACAACAGGGATGGACCTAGAGGGTATTATGCTATATGAAGTAAGTCAGACAAGAGAAAGACAAATGCTGTATGATTTCACTTATATGTGGAATCTAAGAAACAAAACAAATGAGCAAACTTAAGACATAAAAAGTTATAGATACAGAGAACAAAGAGGTGGTTGCCAGAGGGGAGGGGTGTGGGAGTAGGAGAGAAATAGGTAAGGAAGATTAAGAGGTACAAACTTCCAGTTGCAAAGTAAATGTCACAGGTATGAAATGTACAGTGTAGGGA